GGTCAGGGTTTAGGGGTCAGGGTTTGGGGTCAGGGTTTAGGGGTCAGGGTTTACAGGTCAGGGTTTAGGGGTCAGGGTTTAGGGGTCGGGGTTTAGGGGTCAGGGTTTAGGGGTCAGGGTTTACAGGTCAGGGTTTGGGGTCAGGGTTTAGGGGTCAGGGTTTAGGGGTCAGGGTTTACGGGTCAGGGTTTGGGGGTCAGGGTTTAGGGGTCAGGGCTAGACACACACACCTCTTGTAGTGTGCTCTTTATCAGTGTGTTAGCCATCTGCAGGTCTTCTGGACGGCTGCTCTTCAGTAACCGTGACAACAGCTGGTGAAATGCAAAGTGAATGTCAATTACACTGTGTGAGCACTGAGATCATGTGAGTTTTATAGAGACACTTACACTTACTCTTACCTTGGATTTATCTTCATTATCAAACACAGACACTTCCTGTCGTGGAGACGGTGGAGGCATTGCGATAGTGTCAGGAAGGTTGGGGTCTTTTTTCACTATTCCTTAAAGATTAAAGAATAAAATGTTCAGTTTACAGTGTAGAGCGCTGATGTTAATGCTAAACCGGGTCATTACCCTCCGTTTATAATTTTAAGTATGAGAGCACAAGAATGCTTAAGATTTTAAGCGCAGTCTGGTGTGTTTGGACGTCAGCCTTTGGCGACGTCGTTGGTGAGGGTGTGAGACAAATCCCACACTGGCTGTAGTTTCGCTCTGGAGGTCATTTCTCTCACCTTGTTTCTTTAACATGCTGTACGCCTCCTGCACCTTCGGCTCATCCTTTAACCACTGAGTCCAGCTGTACAAAACCTCCGTCACTCTCTGCTTCACCTGTTCTGTGCTCCACACACCCAGATACTACACACACACACACACACACACACACACACAGCTAATCTGATTATGCACTTGTGACTGTTAAAACATGTGATTTCGTATTGGTGGTTTGGAGGGTAGTTGCACAACGTGTGTGTGTGTGTGTTTTTCAGTACCTTTGGAGACAGAACTTTAATGAGTTCATTCAGGAATCTGAACTTTGCCGCTTCACTGTGGAAACGTTTCCCACAATTATTCATACACACCTCCAACAACTGCAGAGAAAACACACACACACACACACACACAAACAGTAAGATCAGTGGGTTTACAGTGAGTGTAGCTAAAATAGGGAAGTGTGTGTGCAGTGGAATTGTGGGTAATGTCGTACAGTGAGCGCCTGAAGAGCTTCCTTCTCCTGAGGAGACTGGATCTTATGAGCCAAGAGTCGTGTCGCGATCTGGGGCCTGTACACACACACACACACACACACACACACACACACACACGCAAGTTATAAATGTAACTCATAGATGTTAGGTTGTGCATGTTATTTTGTGTTACAGTGACAGTGAAGTGATTCTCGTGGTTAAGGCAGTGTATATTCGAATATCAGTAACTGAACTTCAGTAAAACACTGTGTATCACTGGTCAGGGTGTGTGAGAGTGTGTGTGTATCACTGGTCAGGGTGTGTGTGAGTGTGTGTGTCTCACCGGTCGGGGTGTGTGTGAGTGTGTGTGTATCACTGGTCAGGGTGTGTGTGAGTGTGTGTGTCTCACCGGTCGGGGTGTGTGTGAGTGTGTGTGT